CCCCGGCCCCGGCCCCGGCCCCGGCCCCGGCCCCGGCCCCGGCCCCGCACCGGCCCCCCCCGGCCCCGGCCCCGGCCCCGGCCCCGGCCCCGGCCCCGGCCCCGCGGCCCCCCCCCCCCCCCGGCCGGGCCCCGGCCCCGGCCCCGCACCGGCCCCGCACCGGCAGCGTGGGAGCGGCACCGAGCCCGGGACCTGCGTCACGCCGCACCGAGTGTCTCCGGGCTGACACTGCTCCGTGCTCCGTGCTCGGGACCGAACTTTGACGTGCTTCCAAACTTGTCTTCCCATGACCTTTTGTGCCTTCCTGTCCCCGACAGGGCCCGAACCTGATTATCAACCAGCCCGACGAGCTGCTGGAGAGCATGTCCGAGTGGTGCAAGGAGCACCACGGCAAGGTAAAACGCTCCTGCGCCTGGGCCGCGGGGAGACTGACGTGAATTCCGAGGGATCGGTGTAATTCTGAGAGATCGGCTGCACTGGGCTGTAATTCTGAGGGATCAGCAGCAGTGAGGCTCCCCTGGCAGCGGGGCCAGAATGGGATCTGTCGCTCAGGGATGTGCCGCTGGCTCGCATCTCCCAAGGCAGGGCTCAGCCTCCTTTCTCTCAGTGGGAGGCTGGGATTTGGGGTTTCGTTCCTTGGTCCTCTCACAGACCTGCTGGCCACCTCCTGCCTCTGTGGCACGCTGGTGTAGGCTGGGTTGGGTTCAGATTCTGACAGCTCCTCCTGCTGAAGTCTTGCATAAAATAATTCAAAATAATTCCAGTGGGGAAGGGGAGGTGAAACTTGAATGCCTGAGTAAGAACAGGTGCAGGATCGGTGCAGAACAGTCCAGAGCCAGTCAAATGCAGATTTCTTCCTGTGGACTCCGGTGCATGTGGGATTAAACAGGCCTGTAAACACTGGGCTTTTGCCTGTCCCCTCAGTGCTGTAAGCCTTGTGGGTTTTTTCACTGAAAGCTTCACTTTTGCAGCAAGAGATTATTTTTAGTTCTTTGGGCCACCAAAGAAAGGTTCCTCCTTGCCAGCAGCAAGAGAGCAAATGGATTTTCCAGTCCCTGATGATGAATTGAAATTCAAGTTAGTTTTCAATTAAGGGCTGAAGTTTTAAGACATCCATAACCCCCCTTATTCTCCCTTCAGCATCTTGCTCTCCCTGGGAAGAATTAGCAAGAGTTTGAGAAATGAATATTAATTTACTGTGGTGGGTGCTTTTCCCTGCCCCAGTCAAGGATTCCAGCTCAGCTCAGCTTGGGAGTGAATTGGAGATGGTAGCATGCGTCCTTGCTGCTCCTGAGGAGCTACTTATTTTTAATTGACTAAGAGAAGAGAAGCAATTAGAATATAGATGAAAATGCTGCCACATAATGAATTTTTTAACCACCACTTGGATCTGTCAAGTAGATTTTTGCTGCACAGTCGTGGAAATATATAGCGTAGCCAGATGGAAATAAATCACTGAGAACACTTGGAGAGGATTTGACATTTAGCTATTGAAAAAAAAAAAAAAGGGAGGAACTTTCTTGATTTATAGGAATCTTGATAAACCCTGAAGGCAGGATCCTGTTTATTTGTGTTCACTGGTACCTGCTGCTCCCTGCTGGGGAGGTGAGTGCCTCTCCTGAAATGGGGATATGAAGGGATGTAGCGCTCTCCTGGCTCAAGGATGTGCAGGTGGGTAAACAACGCCTCACATCTTGGGAACTGAAAAGAAGTCTGAGCAAGGAAATCCAAAAAAGGGAAGGAAAAAGTCCCAAACCCCCCAGGAAGGTCAGTGCTGTCAGGACTATGTACCTGCCTTGGTTTTCCTTGCCAAGCAGGAGGTCCCTGAGGAGAATAAAGGCCGGGGGTGCCCCAGAGAACTGAGGTATGGAGTTCAGGAGGCACCTGGGGAACAAACAGCACTCCAGGGCTTGACCTTTCACTGCAGAGTTAAACATTTACTTGAGAACTGGAGCATTCCCGGCAGTGCCTGTGACAGGGTGTTTCTGATTTACGACTTGGCTCTTTTTTGCAGTCTGGCCTCACTAAGGCTGTGAAGGAGAGTAAAATCTCGCTGCAGCAGGCAGAGTACGAGTTCCTGTCCTTCGTGCGGCAGCAGACACCCCCGGGGCTCTGTCCCCTCGCAGGTGAGGCACCTTTGTTCTGCACTACAGCACATCATCCTGCACTCCCTGTGGGATGATGCACCCGCTGGCATGTGTGCCAGGGCTGGGTTCCTGTCCCGTGCTCTGTCTTCTCCTCCCTGCTATCCAGCCAAAGGCCGAGTAAGGACCTTCCAGGTGTCCTGTTACCCAGAACTGCTTTCAGAATCTCATATATGATCCTGGGACAGGTGCTGAGTCAAATGAATACCAATGGCCACTTTCACTTGGCGAAAAACCCGATGTTGCTGTAATTCTTTGATATTTATCTGTGTGACACAAATTGTGGGAGTAGTAACTGGGGAATTAGTAGAGGTATTAGTATTAAACCCCGTGTGATCGTGCAATGAAAATCTGACAAACCTTTACAATCATATTTGCTGGAAAATGGGATAAATGAGTTGCTTGTGAAGGGCTTTTCTTCCCCTGTGATCTCTCCCAGCTCGCTCCGCCTGCTGCTCGTTTCCATGTTGCTCTGTAGCGTCTTTGAAGAAACATCTTGTTTGTGTCTTTGTAGGTAACTCTGTTCATGCAGATAAGAAATTCCTTGACAAATACATGCCGCAGTTCATGAGGCACCTTCATTACAGGATCATTGATGTGAGCACTGTCAAGGAACTTTGCAGGTGAATGTTCCCCCAGTTAAGTGGTTTGATAGATAACCTGAGGGTGCTGGGGGCAGATCACAGCAGGAGGACTCGCAGGGCTGTGGCTTCCCCGGGTGTCAGTGAAACCAAGGTTCCTTCACCAAGTGTAACAAACCTGCAGCAGCCACCAGATGTGGCTTTGAATCCCAGTTTTGTTTTTAAGTGGCAGTTTTTCTGCTCACAGGCGCTGGTATCCAGAAGAATACGAGTTTGCACCAAAGAAGGCGGCTTCTCACAGGTGAGCTTTGTGCCTCTGCCACTGACAGAGCAGGGCTTGTCCTGCAGAGAGCTCTGCTCTTCCTGAGCAAGATATGGGGCTCCCTGTGAATTCCAGCATTCTGTGGATGATGCAGGTGGAGATGGTGTGCTTCTGCACCCTGTCAGATGTTTGAATTCTCCTGTCCAAATCCTAGATAGTGTAGGGAAAGGGCTTATTAAAATCCAGAGAACCATAAGTTTCCTCAGCCCTTCTGATTCACTCTGCTCTTCAAAGTGCATGTTTGTTTGCCATGCAATCAATCAGTCAGTGGGGGTTATCTGCCCTTTTTTGGGCAGAGGTGGTCACAGAAACGCAAACATTTGAAAGTGTGAATGGGGGGTGAGAGTCCTGCTCCTGCCCATTTCCTGAGCTTGGGTGGCAGGAAGGAGCCATGGAACCTCTGTGGCTCCGCTCTGATGTGCCTGTGCTGGGCAGGAGGGAGGCTCTGGTACACACAGAGGAGGAGGAGGAGGAGGGCTGGCTGTCGCAGAGGTCCTGGCTGAAGTGGTGGTTGATGTGCTGCTGCATAGAGCTGAGCCCTGAGCATGCCCTGGCTGGAGCTGGGCAGCTCTCTGGAGCCCCGTCTCTTCCCTGGGTTGGATTGTTTCTGACAGCGATGCTGTGACCCTGCTGGTTTCCACAGCTGTGTCCCAGGCTGACATAAATTGATAAGCCGTGTGGTACTCCCTGGCACGTTGGCACCACTGGACTTTTATTCCTTCCCTGAGACAATGAATGTTATTTTCATTTCTGACAGATGCACCTTCCATGTACATCAGTTTGGTTTCCTGCAGCCTGGAAGTTTTCAGCAGCATTGGGATGTGGGCATAGCTGGAGATGTACCCAGGCTCTTTGAAACCCTCCTTAATTCTCTTTCAGAGCACTTGATGACATCAGGGAAAGCATCAAAGAACTCCAGTTCTACAGAGACCACATCTTTAAGAGGAAAACGGATGAGAAGAAAAGGAAACTGATTGAGAACGGGGAAAGCGATAAAGCTGCCAGCTGATTTCCCCTCCTGTCACACCAACCCGTAGCACACAGTAGATGCGTCTCCTGGTTTTTTTTTCGTTTGCCAGTCTCTTGGGAAGCTGCACCCTGGGTTACCTTGTTTCTTACCGGCTGTTCAATGCAGACAGAAGCCTGAGTTGCTGCTGCTTTTCAGTTTGAGCGGGGGATCGGCACGCTGGGCCTCAGCAGCGCCCGGGTTCGGATGTTCTA